CTATACAAGTATTTCACTCAATAAAAAGTCTTAAAAAGTTATGAAAATCACCACATAATACATGAAATATCTGTGCTTGCCCCAATCCTGAGCATGACCCTCAGCTTCAGCCTCTAATGGACCCCTGCCCCTCTCTCTTCTGCCACATCTGCATCAGTGAGGTGGGGAAGGAATGGGGGGGGTTCATTGGTGGTGTGAACATCAGATAAGACTGTGAACATACAGGTTGAGTATCCCTTATCCAAAATGCTTGGAACCGGAATTGTTTTTGTTTTGGAATTTTTTGAATTGTGGAATATTCGCATGATACCAGTTGAACATTCCTAACTGAAAAATCTAAAATGCTCCAGTGAGCATTTATTTTTTGAACATTATGTCAGTGCTCAAAAAGGTTTAGATTTTTGAGGCATTTTGGATTTTGGAATTTCAGATTAGGAATGCACGACTTACGTTGAGAGGCTTTTGACAACAGCAGCATGCCCCTTTCAGTTCACCAACACAACGGGGGCGATTTGTTCAGTCAAATTGCCTCACTTGGCACACATCATATAGCTTCTTTAAGTATAATAATGATTATATAACATCTCTTTTTGCTAATAAAAATAATACTGTTTTATCTACTTAGAGTAAGGTTGAGGATGGGAAGATGGCTTTTCATTTTTAGTCTCTAGGACACACACAAACCTGGGTGCATAGTAGGTACTCAGTAAGTAAACTGTGGAATGAACAAGTACATGAATTGTGAGCAACCAGTGAGAAAGAAGGTAAATTATCTTATTTGTGATAAATAGCAATTAAAGAAAAACTGGAAACTTAGCAGGGCAGTACCAAGGAGTAATGTCGGTGTTCTGTTTCCTAACTACATTGACATTACACGAAATATAATTAATAGGTTGTTAAGCATCATTCTCTTACTTGAAAAAAAAATCAGACTCTTAACTTTTCTAAAAATGAACACAACTCCCTACTGCTTGAGTATCTAAAAGTGAAAAGAAAAATGTGATGGAGTGAGGTGCCTTAGTTCCCAAGAGTCATGGCACTTGCCACAGAGCCAAAGACTTTCAGCATCTTATTTTAAACACTTCCAGGCAGCCTCCTCAACAGAATACCTTACCCATCCATCCAGGCTTCCCTTGCTTACTCAGGCCCTACCCTAACTGGACCAAGCCAGACACTCCCATTTCTCCCCCCATCCACACCTTGCGTACCTCACTCTCTGATGATAATTAGGCTAAGAATAAGCAGAACAAATGTTTTCTTGCCTTTTGTCAGTGTTATCTCTCTGGAATGTTCTTCCTCCTCAAAATCTTGTAAAATATCACCCCACCCTGCCCCCAGTGCCAGGTGCCAAGTGTCAAGTTCCCTTACTCTATGAATCCTATTCGTAATTCCTTCCAGGCCTTGGTGATGGTTGTCTCCGTGTGCTTCAACCTGGCTTGTTTATTTTACATGCAGAGCCCTTGCCACACCGGTGCAAAATAGCGAAGTATGTGTGTGTGCTTCTCATTTGATTATGGGCACATGCCATGTCTTACCCCTCTTTAAATTCCTAGCACTGATTGTAGCACTGGGCACCTAAAAGATGTGTGCCTAAAAGCATACTGACTTGCATAACCATACCCATGTCCTGGTACATATTGACTGATGCCACTCTTTTCATGCATAGCACTGGCCCCTTCAGAATGCCTGCTCTGTTTCTAGCACTTTTCTACGTCCTTTACATGGATGAACTCATTTGATCTTGACAACGGCCCTATGTTCATGGTCATCATCCCTATTTTAAAGACGAGGTCCTTGAGGCATAAAGTGGCTGAGTAACTCACAGGGGCACACAGCTTAGTGGGCAGGAGCCAAGATCTTGCAGGCTACCCTAGATGTTCTACTGCCTTTTGACTTTCAGTAGGAAACTTCATTTCTTGATTACCAAGAAATAAATGAGGTGAAAGAGGGCCTAACAGTTTGTGGGTTTACTGTGTCATAACACAATTGGTTTCAATATTCATGCTGACCTGAAGAATTGTTTGTTTTGAGGGACATAATCATACATCCCAAATCTCAAGAATAGAAAACCCCTCTATGCTGTATATAGTTCATAATTTTCTATGAGGAACAGTATGGGTGATATTAATACCAGATATTTGGATTCAGTTTCCAGCTGGTTCTGCCTATGTTTATTTATGGGACCTTGGCTGACTGTTCCTCTTGTCTTCCCACTGGGTCTGAGGATTTGATGACATAAGTAAAGTCTTAGCATGGGACTCAACGAAAGGCAGTGTGTCAAGGGCCCCCAGGATGACCCCAGGTTCAGAGATTAATTAGAAGAACTCACAGGACTCAGCATATAGTCACACTCATGGCTAAGATTTATTGCAGCAAAAGAACAGGAGGCAAAATCAGCAAAAGGCTAAGTCCAGAGAAAGCCAGGTGCAAGCTTCTAAGAGTCCTCTCCCTGTGGAGTCACACAAGACACGCTTAATTTCTTCCGTAATGAGTTGTAACAACACATGTGAAATCTTCCCCATCAGGGAAGCTCATTGAATCTCTGAACCTGCTCAGGGTTTTGTTGGGTGCTGGTAGGCACCCTCTCCCTGGCAGGTGCCAAAATTATGCAGTCCCAGAAGGAAAGAATTAACCAAGTTGACTGTACACATTGCCAGGCGTAGTGAGCTACCCTTATTGTTACGGAAAGTTTCATGTGGCTGTAGGGAACAGTTTACCAGCCAGTGCCCCACCTTGCAGGCCTATCTTTTAAAGACAGTCGTCACTGGCCTGCCATGTTCACTGTTTTCTGCACAGTCAGCCATCAACCTTATGGTGACTCACTATGCAGAAAAGAATAAGCAGCATCACAGCTGAAGCCACCCAACTCTGTTCTTTTAAAGGCAGATGGTTCAGTGAATACTGTGGCATCTGAGAGGAAGGTGTGCTCCGGACATGACCATGGCGCCATTCATTTATCTGGAGTGCCGACTCCGCCTTTACTGCTCACCCACGTTCCTGAGCATCTTTTAGGGCATCTTTGGATTCCCACCTCTTTCACCCCTTCAGAGGATGTACAGGACCCTTTCCATTTCTTCTTCCCATGGCATATGGAGTTAATAGTATGCTGTTTGGGCTTCTGAATATACTATTTTATTTATTTTTATTTTTTTGAGACGGAGTTTCACTCTTGTTGCCCAGGCTGGAGTGCAATAGTGTAATCTGGCCTCACTGCAACCTCTGCCTCCTAGGTTCAAGCAATTCTCCTGCCTCAGCCTCCCGAGTAGCTGGGATTATAGCCATGTGCCAACACACCCAGCTAATTTTGTATTTTTAGTAGAAATAAGGTTTCTGTATGTTGGTCAGGCTGATCTCGAACTCATGACCTCAGGTGATCCGTCCACCTCAGCCTTCCAATGTGCTAGGATTACAGGCATGAGCCACCGCACCCAGCCCTGAATATACTATTTTATATTCTTTGTATATGTTGTATTTTTTCTTCAGCAGATCCATGTGTATTAGTCAAAATAGTGTGAGAGATCAAAACTCAAATGCATTCAAGAGCTAGGCAGATTATAGAAATGAAGGGAAACGCTTGCAAGGACAACGGAGAGTTTATACTTTCAAAAGAAAATGGAACCTATCTCCCCTGGCAGAGGGTGCTCACCAGATGAGTTTAGTCTGAAGACATCAGTTCAGAGCTCCTGGATTAGACTGACTGTGATTTTCTTTAGGTCAGAGATAATTTCTTATATATTTCATTATTTTCCCAATAGAAAAATAATATTTTTTCACTTATTCAACAGTATTTATTCAATACAGCCATATGCCTAAGATAAAAGATGAAAAAGAAAAAATCTTTGCTTTAAAGGTATCAGTATTGTATGAAAACAGACAAATAATGAAACAGATGTATGACAGAGTCATAAATTCTATGTTTGAGCAGTGCACTGTGCTATTAGATATTACCAGGAATCTTGTCTCTTTGCATAGACCATGGCTTCTCTGGTGCCTATACAGCACATGGAATATCATAGATATTTAACATGTATCTGTTTAATGAATATTTGAATCAATGGTACAGTGATTCCAAAACAATTTGACTAATTATTAAAATCATTTGGGGGAAATTTATAAAAATACAGGTTACTGGGCCCAACTCCAGACTTATGAATCAAAGTTGCGGGGAATGCAACCCAGAGACCCGATTATCTACAGTTTTTTTTAATCTGACCATGATATTGGGAACATTGGCCAACTGAGGTGCTCCCTTGTTCTGTTTCACTCTTGCTATTGCTGAGAGAACTGAATGAGTGCATAAAGAGTGTGTTCTTGTGGGAGGAGAGGTTGGTGGGGCTGAACTTTGCTATGCACCTGAACTTGTCATGTAGGTGCCCCTTCCAGCCAAACCCCTACAAGTTAGACTGTCTGAAGCAGGAGGGTCCAGAAGCCTGATGAGCTGCATTCAGGAATAAGATCTGCCTTGAAGGATTCAGTTATTGATCTTGGCTCTAGGGCTTTCCCTGCTGTATCATTTTAGTTCTCAAATATAAATTCTTAGGGAGGTAGAGTTTCACAGGTGACATCATCTCCAATTGCCTGTGCATTTGGAGACCTACCAGGTCCAGCTTTGGTGGTGTAGAAAGTGTATGCATATGATTCCTGGGATAAATAGTTATTTGTCAATATTGCTATTCCAGTGTTTTAACTCTTACTGTGCATAGTAATATCCTTAAACTAGCTTCAGATTAATAATAAGGCCATTAAGCACAGCCCAGTGGCATTATTATTATTATTATTATTATTTAAGCATTTCTCTGCTCTACAGGTCATAATCTTGATTCTACAATAATCTAAGCTTCTTGACTCTAGGGATATTCTCTTTTATTTTTAAAAAATTTTTATGCTCCAGGGATATTACTTGCCCATGTTTGCTGGATAAATGGATGGATGAGTTGAATCTATTTGAAATTTTAAATGATGTAGTATCAGTTTCTATTTGTCTTTTTTTGCTGTTGTAGAAGCAAGCACATGGAGAAACTAGAAGTAGACCCTAGCAAGCACTCATTCCCTGATGTGACTAACATTGTTCAAGAGAAAAAACGCACACCCAGAAGACGATCTGAACCCAAAATTATACCAAGTGAGGAAGACCCAACCTTTGAAGACAACCCTGATGTGCCTCCACTGATTTGAAACATCTGCTTGCGTTGTCATTGGCTGAGACTTACCAGGTCCAGCTTTGGTGGGTGTAGAAACTGTATGCATGTGATTCCTGGGGTAAACAGTTATTTGTCAATATTGCTACTCCAGTGTTTTAACTCTTACTGTGCATAGTAATATCCTTAAGCTAGCCTCAGATTAAAATGTATGCTTTACAATTTATAATGATGGGTTAAATGCTATAACTTATCATTTACCTGTAATAAAGGGTTGGTATTGACAATGTTTAGTAAGATCATAGAACTGTTGCATAAAACATTGATTATAAATCCCAGAACTGTAGATTAAGTTGTAGATAAAAGGACTGAGTGTTAAATTGGTACTTCAGCAAATTGGTCAAGCTTAGAGGTTAACACTGTAATTTCAGATCCAGTTGGAATACTTTAATATGATTTTCAACAGCATTTCCATTTTCCTTCTCATGATGTGTCTGCTTTCTCTGGTGGCATGATATAATGGCAAGAATATGAGTTTTGAAATCAGATACCCTATATTTGGATTCCAGCTCAATCACTTTGTAAAGACCTTCAGCAAGTCCTTTAATTCTCTGAGCCTTAGTGGCTTCATGTATAATCTGGGAATAATAACACTTGCCTCACAGGTTTATCTCAAGATAAGCTGCAGAAAAGCACTTAGTACAATGTCAACCCTACATTTAGAGCCTCCTCTCTCTTCTTCTTCCCTTTCTCCTCTCTCTCCTCTTTCCTGCTCCTTCTTTGCCTCCCTTCTCAATTACTTTTTTCCTCTTATTCTCCTTCTTTACCTTTTTTACTCCCCATTCGACTCTACCTCCTCTACTTCCTTCTTTACTTTTTAAATATCTTACCTGTTCTTTATCTAGAACATTATAAACTCAATATTTCACATACTGTAGGAAAAATTACTGTTACACTGATCATGGTGTCATAGCATTTAAATCAGTTTCCCCAAATATTCATTCAACAAATCCTTATTGATCAACTATTGAATGCTAGCGACCTCTGTGTTCATCAGGGATTTAGTAGTAACAAAGCAGACAAATGCATACACACAGACTATTTCAGGTGGTGGTCAGAGCTGTGAAGGAGAATCAGAGTGAGGGGATCGAGGGTAATGTGTGTTTTTTCAGACAGGGCCTTTCTCTATTAAACAGGCTTCCAATGGAAGACTCTCTTAATGTTTAGCAGATAACCAAAATGCATCAGTTAGAAAAATATGATGAGAATGGGGGATTGGTTATGGGAATGCAATTGGACACAAATGTGGGAAGAGCTGGGAAGTGAAGCTCTAGAAAGGAGAGGTGGAGAATTGGAAGAAGCATTGGTGCAGGTAGGCAATTCAGAACTTGCACACAATCTGAGAAGCTGAAGTAGGGCTGTGGCTGGGAGCTTGTGGATAGGTCTATGGAAATTACCACGCTGCTGAGAATGTTGCCTCTATTTATCCACTACTCCTCTGGTCCGTGACCAAGATCCTGGTGGGTGGATTTGGAGCCAGCCTTCGTCAGCAGGCCTGTGGTAAGAAAGATGGGATAGACACAGAATGGTAGAGATCAAGGATCCGCTGAGGCGGTCTGGGTTCTTCTGCATCTGTCCATCACTGTGACTGATGATGATGACTGAGTATAATATCTTTCTTCAGTTCTTCTTCCCAAACATCAGGCAGGTTCCTCGTGTGGTCAACTCTACCCGGGAACCACGTAGGGAAGGAAATTCCAGAAAACAGTTCCCAGCCTTAGCCAGGTTGACATATCATAATCCAACAGAACTGAAACTCCACCAACTTGCAAACCATATACATTTGTCAGGACTATATTTAACTTCCACATAAAGAGAAAGCAAAATTATACTTTTGACCAAGCTAATACAATTATCCCTTAAACAACCCAAACTGTGCTATCTGTTACGGACTGAATAATTGTGTACTCACAAAATCCATATACGGAAGCCCTAACCCCCAGTGTGATGGTATTTGGAGGTGGGCTTTTGGGAGATAATTAAGATTAAATAATATCATGAGAGTTGGTTCCTCATGATGGGATTTGTGTTCTTAAGAGAAAGAGACACCAGACAGCGCTCTCTCTCAGCCATCTGAGGACATGGCACTAAGTCAGGAGGAGAATTGGCAGACACCTTGGTCTCGGATTCCTGGCTTCCAGAACTGGAAGAACTAAATTTCTGTTGTTTTAAGCACCCATTCTATGGTATTTTCTTGTGGCAGTCCAAGCAGACGAGGACATTATCCCTCTCCCAAAAAAGATACACAGAGTCCTCCATGTGATCTTTTTCATCCATGACTGACGGTTATTTCTTTCCTAAGGGAGTCACACTCTCATTTTTATATCCTATGAATTAAATATTGAGATATACAGTGATTAACACATCTTACTTTAGAATGGAAAAAAAAGAAACAAAGTGAAGGGAATTTAGGTATATAGACGGATTCATATGTGGATGTAAATATGTGGTCCACTCTAACTGTGGAACATGGTATTGTTTTGGGTGTCCCGGAATTACCATTGGTTCAGAGCCAATGTCCAGTAATCCCTGAAATGTCTGGGTGTTTCTTTCCTCTCAGTGCACAGTCACCCTGGTAAATGTGGGCCTTTTTGCAGAAAGCTACAGGGAAGATTTATAGAATAAAATTTTGGCAGTATAGCAAGGTTCTTCCCCAGGGAGATCCAGCTGTAAAGTAGTAAACCAGGAGGATATCTGGGGGAAGAGTTTTCTAGAAACTAGATAGATTTTTATATATGGATATGTGTGCTTATACACATATATATTCATATCAAAGCAAGAAAGAAATACCATCTCTACTATAGATCTTGGTTTTGAAGCTAATCACATGGCTGCAGCTGGTAACTGATATTTATAGCCTTATCTTTCCACTGCCTATTTCTTGTTATTTTTCCTTCAATAAGCACCTCCACAGGGTAGTTCCTGGCCTCATGGGGCAACCCAACCTTCATTCCTGCATGTTCTGTGCCATTGGCAGTCCTATCTTTATTGGGTTATTTAGTTTCCTATTTATTGTTATCACAAAACTGGAGGTACTAAAAAAAGATGCCCTGAGAATTACCTGCATTTCAGTTAAATTCCTCCCTCTTCTCTTCTCTTCTACTCCCCTGTGAGCAATAGCTATTCATTTTCTTGTGATGGTGAAATCACCCAGCCAGTCCTTCTTTTCCTATTAATTCACTGGCACAAAGACCCCAACATGGTCAGATTGGTCTCCACTTGCAATTAGAAGGCAGCATTGTTGTGTTTTCTAATGAAAGTGCTCTTTCCTTTGGAACCAATCCCACTAAACCAGCAGAGCCCCAGGTTCCAGAAGCAGGAAGTAAAATGTTGTCAAATTAATTAGTAGGGGCAGTAGTGAGCAGGCCACCCTCATTCCCATCCCTTGATTCCAGATCTGTGCATCTTGGCTATGGGTGAAACAGCACCATATATTGGATGGGATTATATATTATATCCCAAAGAACATTACCTCATCCACAAAAAGCATTGTATCACCTGCTGGCACTTTAATTAAACCTTCAAAAGGCCACTTTATTGTTCTATCAGGCCAGCTGCTCCAGGTAAGTTCATTGAATTCTATAGCATCGTTCTATTGGCATGCTTCATTTGCTGGAAATTGTGTTGCTTGATTAGAATTGACGCTGAATATATGACAGTGAATAAGGCATTTATTAGGAAAGTCCACAGATGGTGGTTTTGGCAGAAGCATTATAGGGAAGGAAGGCAGATTTATGTTTAGAATAGTGCATTTTCCAGTGAAAATAGAGTCTGTCTCTTCCGTCACAGAATTGTTCTTGTGTAATCAACTTGCCACCAGGTGGCTGACTGGTTCCATAGGGCTTTTAAGTGGCCATATGTGGGACTAAGTGTTGGCTGCTACTCTTGTCACTTTAAAAGTCTGAAAACTTTGTCACTTTAAAAGTCTGAAAACATCTGCAAATTATTGGACACCCCTTCCATCAAGAGGTGGAGTCTCTGCCCTCTTATTTTGAATCTGGGCTAAACTTGTTCTTACCTATGGAAATGATGTCATATGGCTGTCATGGACATACCACCAGATGGCTGTCACGGCCATGCCACTAGATAGCTGTCACGGCCATGCCACTAGATGGCTGTCACGGCCATACCACTAGATGGCTGTCACGGCCATACCACTGGATGGCTGTCATGGCCATACCAGTTCTGCTTGGTTCTCTTGGGACACTTGCTCTGGGCGAATCCAGCAGCCATGTAAGAAGTTCAACCACTCTGGGACTGCCATGCTGGAAATGTCACACACGGCCATTCCAATCACAGCCTCAGCAGTGTTCCTGGCTACCGCATCAACTTCCAGACAGACAAGTCTGCCATATTTGGTGTTCAGTCCAGACAAGCTTTTAGATTCCTGCAATTCTAGTCAACATCTGGCTGCAATAGCAGGAGAGACCCCAAATGAAAGCTGTACTGCCAAGCCTTCCCGAAATCGAACCCACAAAATTGTGGGCAAAATACAATGGTTTTAATCTACTAAATTTTGGGGGCAATTTTTCTTTTTGCTCTCAGCATATATTATTTATTTATTTTTTGCATTTTAGGTTTTGGGGTACATGTGAAGGACATGCAAAATTGTTGCATAGGTACACACATGGCAGTGTGATGTGCTGCCTTCCTCCCCATCACCTATATCTGGCACATGGACACAGGGAGGGGAGCAATTTTTCTTTTGGTAGCAAAAGCAGTCAGAACAGATTTGGTACCTGGAAATGGGTTCTACCACAACAAAAACCTAAGACATATGGTTATTGCTGGGGACCAGGGAGCAGTCAAGCTGGAAGGACCCTGAGGAGGCTGACGTGTTTGGATGCTGCAGGAAACAGGCACCAAGAAGAAGTTAGAATTGCAAGAGATTTGTTAGGGTTAATACCTGCGTAATAAGGATAAAAGGGGGAGCAGAAGTACAAATGGAAAGTCTTAAGACTCTCAAGCTTAGATGCACTTTGACACATGTCAAATGAGGCAGAAGGAAGAGGAAGAGGGATTGACTAGCAGGATCCTTTAACTGCAGCTCTGGGAAAATCTCAGCCAATGGGGAGCTCCAGCACAGATTGTGGTAGAAGACAGGCATGTTGGGCAGAAGTGGCCAAGCATGGATGCCCCTGCCATGTTGAGTTATTGACTGGAAGCTGCCTTGAAGAGTGTGGGGGCCTCCGCCTGAATGCTGCAGTGGACCTGGGAGGCACTTGGCACTGAGGTTGTCGGCTCTTTGTACTCCTTGTGGTAGGTTCTGTCTGGAAGAGGTCTGAGCAGTGCATCTCTGTGGCTACACAAGACTATTAAGGAAACTTAATGG